TTTTTAAAGAGTTAAATGTAGTTTTCTTTCTTCTCAAAATAACGTTTATTGGTAGATTCCCCATTTTCTGACACAGATGCGCTGACCCCAACACTGTTTCCGTTCCTGAGAAACATAACGAGACAGGAGGGTTAGATGCCTGACAAAATCTATTTTGAAAACAGAAAGTTGCAGTCGGGCAGTTGCGCCTCTGCCACCCAAGGCGACACCCGTAAATCATGCATTTATTGCTGCTAATCTAACCCCAATAATCATGTACAATTTTCTGGATTACACGTCATGTATGTACAACACAATGTCGCAAAAGGGCTGGAAAATCCATTGGAAAATCATTTCGGTCCCGTTGTTTCGATTCAATTGTGCTATTATTGGAATTATTTGTTGCTTGCGTGCATTTATGAAAGGAAAAGGTGAATCATGCATCTAAATGTTTTTTTTTTTAATTATGTATATTTTTTTTTCGGGGAGATTATTCATCTGCGTTGCATTAAAGCAGGCATCATGCATTATATGGTGAGTATATATGACGGTAAGTATGAGCATCTAAATGCAGAAGACTAAAATGAGACTATACAAATTTTAAATGGAAGACGTTGGTGATTTTGTTGCTTTTCAAACAACGTGTCACTTGTTTTGTTTGTTTTTCACAATATCATATAAATACACACAGCATCAGTCAACAAGGTGACATGTTTGGATGCAATATTGCACGCTGCCCGATCAAAGTTTTTCGTTTTCTACAAACGTACGGAAATAAAAGACACCGTTTGAGATATTTGATTGTATTAATTGTACTGAAATGACGATGAGGAATACATTTTATCGATACTGAAATTTGCATTGTAAATAAAAAAATCAAATGTATCTTTTTTTTTCTTTCAAGTGAATTCATTAAGGTAATATTGAGAGGATAAAATATATCGACAGAAGCAAATCATTTAGTTTTATTTGAGTGCAAATTGAAATAAATGCAAATCAAAGTATTTTTATTCATACTCAATTTTGAACAAATAAAATGGCATTAAACTAATATACACAAATACAACTATTTTTTTTGTTTTCTTGATTATACTGTCATAAAATTAGCATAACATATTCAACTAAAAATGTGCTTTTTTTATAATGGATTAATTTTACTTATTAAAATAATGTTAGCATGACAAACAATTTCTCTTTACGGTATCGTGCTCAAATGAATAAAAGGACAAAGAAGACATCTTATTTTAAAATTAGCATCATAAATAGAACATGCATTATGCGAAAAGTTGAACACTGATTTATTACACCTAAATCTGTATAATCAATACAAAGTGTGTGACTCAATTATCACACATATTTTTTAAACTATTGAATTGCATTTTTTTTTCTCAATGAAAATAACAGTAGAAGCAGAGGATTCTTTTGTTTTCAAATGAGGACGTATTTTGAACCCTTCACGTTGGACAAACTATTTTTTGTGACCTTACATGGAAATATTTGATTTCTTTTGCGATCAAACTCAAACCTAATTAATCGACTAACTGTGATGACCAAATTAATCAACAACTACTTCGATAATTAATTCTTTAGTCACTTAAAATTGTCCAACTCTTAAGAATTGCAATGTCCAATTTCTGTCATCTTCCACGAAAGCAAACTATCTTTGTTGTTTAAAAGAAAAAAAGACATTTGCAAACACTGCTTTTACTTTGAAAACCAATTAATTTTTGCCTATTTTCTGACAGTGTGGACCGAACCACAATACAATCGATTTATGTTTATATGAAATGATCTGTTTTTGAATGACGGTATGGAAATTAACTTAATTTTTTTTTCCAATTCAATGAATCAAACAAAAATAATCACCACATTAAATCGATGATCAAAACAATTGTTAGTCGCAGCCCAAATATATACACTCATACATATCTCGAAATGAACTGAACCTGATGCTCATCCTCTGAGGAAGCAAAAAAAAAAAAGAGATGAAAATCACACTTGCTACAGTTTTGCATGTCTTAAACTATGTGCTTCATATTTGTACGGAGTGGACTTCGACCAGTATTCATTTGAAGGACATCCAAATGACAAATGAGGTTTGCCCACTCATTTCGCTCGCATTTGTTGTTCACAAAAAAAAAAAAAATCCACCCAAAATACCAACACAGGGATTTTCCATGTACTTCACCATAATGTGGGGATAAATTGTTAATTATATAATTTCTATCTCATCATCAAAACATATCGGATTGACTTCCATTGGTGGAATTTCTGTAATAAAATTAAAAAGAAGAAAAATAATAACAATAATTTTAAGCATGAGTGTAACTTGCTGTATTCGCTCCAGGTCAGTCCACAGGCTTGGTCCAAACCACAGACATATGTGAGACGTTGGGGGAGGGAACGTGTCCCCCCCCCCCCATCAAAAAAAAAATCTGGTCCTTCATGGAAAATTCTTCTTTTTCTTCATCCCAGGGGAGGGTGGTTGTGGTTGTTCAAGCACATCCCCTCGGTGTGGATCAGATGTGTTCTCCCGTGCATCCATCCTATAATTTGAGAGCATTGTTTGTGAATAGCTAAAACTGTTTTTTACTGTATCTGTTTCTGGAAAAATATGTGTATACTGTACGTGTGTAATACATTTAAATTCAAACAGTATTACTGCATTTCGAAAATATCTGTAGTCCATAATTTGATATGTACATTTATTATGAGGATATCATCCGAAATTGACTCACTGTGTGCATGGTAAATGAAAAGTACGTCAGGGTTATTTGGCTTAGGAGAGGACAAATATTCAGTTCATATGACAAAAAGGCGATTTGATACTTTAGCGTGAGAAAGTAAATGCATCAGAGAATTTTAAGCAGAATAATTAAATAGAAGTCTGGTGAATTGGTGGGGGAAAAGGCAAGCGTCTGACCTTGGAGTGCTCCTGGTGGTGTGGATGCTGCAGAGATGTTTTGAGGCTTAACAATGGCTGGACCGCGTCTTCGTATTCTACGGTGACACGGGCGGTTCTGCCGGGCAACCTCTCATTTTCTCCACTAAAACATGTCGAGGATATCGACATAGCAGAAAACCTTTCACTCGGCATTGTGGAAGCGGGACAAGGAGACCAAAAGGTGTCCCCTTTTCGCCTCCCTGCGTCCAGCCAAGTGAGCTACGCCATTTTCAATTGTCCCCAGTAAGTGAAGAGCGCGATGATTGGTTGAGGAATGTGTCCATCAAAATGTTAAAAGTACCACCACGGAAGTGGTCCGAAATCGGAGAGGTGATTTTTTTTTTTTTTTAACCACCGGAATGAACATAGGAAGAATAAACGCTGAGTAAAACAATCACTTTCAAAAAAATGTTCATGGGCCAAATTTCAAGCTAAATAATAAACACAAAATATACTGGTCTGAAATGCTATGAGACATGAGCAAGGTGTCGTTCATTTTCCAAATATCGGAAAGCATGTGACAAATTTATACCACCAAACTGAAAATAATGCAAAACGAACCCTGAGAAAAAAAAATAATTTACCTGGAAAAAATAAGAGGTTGCCAATCAAAAGGTGCAACGCAGAAAATCTGATATACGATTGACTGGTGAGAGTTCCACCCGGAAAAGCATGGACTTTTTTTAAAAAAAAAATTACACAACAATCTTTATTGAACAAGTCAAATCAAAGAGAACTAAACGAACAAGTTATTAATACATACACAAAAAGAAGATCCAGGGGATTTTAAACGGAAATTCCAAATAAAGAGCATAAAGTCAGAATTTTAACTGCTTTCTCGTTTTTGGAAATCATAATAGAATTCAAATATTGTTTAGATTCTGCTTCAAAAAATTAAGAGGTTTTGAACGACTACATCTAGATTTGTGGATAGCATGGACACTTTCTGACTGGGGATCGCCAGACAGAACGTCATTTTCATAGTATTCTTATGAGTGATCCCAAAACAAGTAAATTACCGGTACAGGCATTTTACAAATAATCCAAATTGAACTGTGCTTCCTACCGCTGATCCGAACAATTGGCTGCTGTGCGGTCGGCACCGACACAATTGGCCGTAAATTTCCAAACTATCCAATAAATTCCAAATTTTCAATCGTTCTCAAAATGACTTGCAATAAAATCCACAACACATCCTTTATGAAACGACAGAAATAATCTTTTTGCCTGAAGCAAAATCGAACGAAATATGCCTAAAATCAACTAACTCCTATGCCTTGTCCATTCATTTTTATTCTTTGTTTTACTTGCATCAGAAAGATTAAGTGAAAATAAACTTACATCACAAAGACTGGAGTCATTCTTTATCCAACCATCCCGGCGATGCACTCTCTTTGCCGGTCACGGGGAAATCTAAGGAGCTTCACGCCTTTGGCGCTTGGCGTATGATACCCAACAGCCACGCATGTGCCAATTTTTCGTAGTAATTCCCCGCAATGAAATTGAATTTCGCGCCAGCGTCAGCGATTGATTAGCTGCAAGACGGCACCTGGAAAATCACGTGACCAATTATGGCCAATGGAAAAGCACGTGACCACTTATGGCCAATCAGCATAGGTAATTAAGTTTTTTTTTTTTGGTCAGGACGCAAACATGGGTAATTAAGTCGGCCGGACGCTGCGTCAGAAAATAACGTTTGTCAAACAATTACAAAAACAGTGACTTCTATTTAATTAGTGTAATACGACGACGGCTGGGGGTATTTTTTATTTTTACAATGCCAAATTTGCTGAGGAATAAAGAGCTCGAACAGCATCCAAAAAGTAACAGTCCACACATGGCACCTCCTTTTATTGAACTCAAATACATCTCTATCAGATGTTAAGAAATTATATTAAGATTAATATTTTTCAAGTCACATGTCTTGTTTCATTCCACCGCATCAATGCACCTCTAGGCTTTGAACTACTTCACTATTTTTATTCGATTAGCCTTAATGCAGCGGAGACACTTTGATTTTAGCATGTGGAGTTAGTACATTTAGTCAAATGCTACGCATCATGGTCATGCATACTAGTCCTATGACAACAGATTGCTTTAAATACAAATATATAGCATGTTACCTCAGTTTAAGCTGGTCCACATTTTACCATCAAGTGATATCAGTAGTAAAATGCTTCTTCCTAACACCTAACCACTGAAGTGAGTAATTTGAAGTGATTGGCAGTACTCTAATTCATGTAAGCTCAGAAAAAAAATGGCATCAGGGCCTTTAAAAGGATGCATTAAAAATAGCCCCCTTTTGCTTAGTACTCTTGATTGTACTGTGTGAACAGCGGCAGCGACCGTGGTCCTCACAGTAGGAAATTAGGCGCCGCACACCACTGGGATGAAAGAAATTGCATATATAGGAAAACAACAAAAAACCCAAAAAACTAAATCAAGGCACATGCGCATGTGTAGCAGCACAAAGACGTTTCCCAAGGTTTTTGGCATGAAACAGCGGCTTTCCAGGGGAGGCGAGGACCACGGTCGCCTGCTTTTGGGACTGACTGAGGAGAGAGGGGGAAAAAAAAAATACAAAAAAACAAAACAAAAAAACCTAAATGTCCGGCCGTGATGATCAATTCCTACATAAAAACTCAAGTCATCAGTGCAGGAAGCGGATGCTCATTTTCTGCTCCACATCCACCTTTTCCAGCACCTGTCATACACACACAAAACATTTTTTTAAGTAAGTCTTGCATTTTTTTTTTTACCATATTAATTATAAAACAGAAGTTGCCTACATTGACAGGCAATTAAATCAGTTATTAATGCAATTGTTAAATATATTTGGTAAGCATAAAATATGATTCCCTTAATGCTTTGCTGTAACATAAGATATAAATGGCAGTTCACCAGTCATAAGATAAAAATGTCACAAAATATATTTACGTAACACCTTTACATGCAACCACCGCTGCTTACAAAGCGGAGCAAAAATAAGGAATACAACAACAAAGACGGTTAAAACCATAAACACAATAAGACGATTGCAGCTCTTCTCCACACCCAGGAAGTAAACACTGACAATTAAAAAAAAAAAAAAAAAAAAAACCTTGATCTGAATATCAAATAAGTTGCGTGTGTCTATTTGTCTACGGCGTGGAGAACTTGCCTTGATGAATTCGTTGAAGGAAATGGAGCTGTCTCCGTTCGTGTCGGCCTCCTGGATGGTTCTGTCCGCGATGCTCCCCAGCTGCTCGTCAGAGATGTTCACACCAACCATCATTCTTAACACCTGAGAAAACGCGCACAGGCACAGGCACTGTCATGTGTTTGGGACAAAAACACACGAGTCATGAACGTGGTGGTGCCTTATGAGGAAGGAAAATAAAACAAAAATGGAGCCCTTAATCACATTGCAGCTCCTTATCAACTGAAGGGCAAAGTCTCCTCACCGCTGTTACGTCATAGCCTTACTTTCCTCGGCATAAGGCGGTGACGATGACGGCGGGGGAACGTTCAGCAGTTTGCTCACGTGTGGCAATTTCCTGCTTTGTTTCGATGTGCGGTTACACAAAAAATTTCAGTCAACATTTTGACTAAACTTGGCGGGGGCAGAGGAGGAGGAGATATTTGTTGCGAAGTTTGAGATTTTAAAGAAAAAGTGTCGATTCCGGGAACATTTGAGTAACTTTCTAAAAACTCTGCGATGACCTTAAAATTTGAAATGGAAGATTTTTGGGATTGTTTTTGCCTCACAAAAATTATTATTTTTTAAACATTTTGTACCATTACAATGTCTCAACTTTGTTGTTTAAAACAAGTTATACAGAAAAAAAAATACAAATCTAAAAACAGTTCTGTAAAAGATTTTTTCTCAAAAAACATTTCTATATTTATTTTCAGTTTCCCTTTTTTGTCTAAATAACTTTTGAACTTTTTTTCCCAAAAACAAACTTTGCCCCTATTAGTTTTTTAAAAAAAACTATTTTCTTCTCAGAAATATATATTTTTTCTTTTCTAAAATGGATGTGCAAATATTTTTCCATGCAGTTTTTAGTAGTAAAAATGGTAGATTTTTCCCTCTCTCCAAAGCAAAATATTACATTTTACTTCCAAAAAAAAAAAAAAAAAAAAAAAAAAAAATCAAACATTTTTTGAAGAAACTGCTATGCTATGCTGAGGGAAACTATGATGTGGAGCACGCACCTGGAGCAGCTCATCCCGTGAAATCTTGTCGTCTCTGTCCAGGTCATAAAGACGGAAAGCAACTGAGCAGAACCCACCCAAAAAAAAAAAAAAAAGTGATAAGTGACAGTTGTCGTTTGTGCGAGAACCAAAACGTCCCCCTCATGTGTACTCACACAACAGCTTGTTGGTCCTGCTGTTGAGCGGCTCGCTTGTGCTGGTGTTCTTGTTCTTCTCGCTGTCCTCGATGGGCCGAAAGTGTGCCAGCGTGCGCATGAAGCCTCGGAAGTTCACCTGGTCCTCCCTGACCATATTTTCAAATTAAAAAGTCAGTCGCTATCCACCACGCAGTCGTATAAGGAGGGAACATTTTTGAATCAGAGTTCTTGTTTCAAAAGTGTGAATACGACGGCAGCAGCCCAAACGACCTATTTGGTAGGAAGTGGCGGAACATTTCCAAATAAAAGCCTCACCCTTCCGGGAAGAAGGCGTTGATGATGCGGTCACCCAAAGGATTGATGGCCAACTCCGGAATCCTCTGGAAGTCTTCTCGACTGCACACAGAGAAAAGAGATTTGATTAGACAAGATGGAAAAACGACACTTGGAAGACAAAGTATTTGCAACGTGTTCATGTGGCTGTTGCATGTTGATGTTGACATTCATAATAACATAAATAAACAGAGGCAGATGACACCATTCACCTTGACTGTCCAGTGACTGAGCTGGGACAGGAAGAACCAAAAGTTGTTGTGTGTAAACGCCACTGCCTTACACCCCCCCACACCCCACCCCACACACGCGCACACACAAAAACAGACAAAACAGCGGATTTAACAACGGTAAACTCAGGAGCCAGCACATGTAATCATTACCCGCCTGTTCAACTATTACTCGCTTTGTCCCATCTAAAGACGAACCTCTTTAGTTTGTGATTAACTGTGGAAAAATGTTCCAAGAGGAAATCATGTCAAAATAAGTCTCGGGGCGATAAGGCCTGAAAAGAAAAGCTCAGATTTTTTTCACAAAATACAATTTTCGAGTTTAGAAATGTTTTTCCCCCACAGAAAATTCAAAGGATAATGACATTAGTCACCGGGCTCGTTTCTCGCCACAATATGAAAACGATTTTGGTCTTGTTGTCTTTTTCTTAGCAGAAATCAAAGTTACAAGTTGTTTTGGGGAAAAATTGTCGCCGGAGCACGACAAAGAAGTTAACAATCCTGTCTGTGCCTTGGTAAACTAGCTCCCCCTTCTTGCTCCCTGCTATGTTGTTAGTATAAGCAGTGCATGTCAGCGGGGACACGCTTTGAGCTACAATTGCAGTGAAATGTTATTATTTATTTCAAATCATATTCAATTCAATAAAATATGCATCATTCAGAGAAACAGACTCAAATCGCTCACGCGGGGTTTGCCGTTTCTGCTTCGACGGCCAGCACGACCAGTGTACTTGGCATAGTACAACTTTATTTCCATGAAATTATGACTTTAAAAAATTGTAACAACACATTTTGATGAAAATATTACATTATTTTCTCATTAGAGGAGTCAAAGTCACAAACGACAATGACCAAATCGCGAAATTAGTAACACTGATTCATCTTTTGTATATGGTAAAATGTAAACAAATAAAACTGCATCTTGTACAATTACAACTACGGGGCGTAGTAAAAGGTGACGAGGCAGACTGCTGTTCTGTATCTAATACCAAACATGAAATGTGAGGCAGACGTGTGAAACACTCGTGCGCGGTGCCACCTGACTACTTCATAATCCAAAATTGTCTCACCTGAGGGTGCCGTTCTCGCCTTTATCCAGGCTGGTGAAGCGGCTGTACAGACGAGTGATCTGGCTGTGCGAGACTGCGGAAGGACACATAAAAGATGATTTTCAGACATCATGTATAAAACAGTCATATTAAACAGCTTGGCTGGGGTGTCTTTTTGAGTAATTTAGCAAATCAATGGCTGGTATGCTCTCTACTGCGAGCTGAACGGCCGTTTCAATATCTAAAAAGCAGGTCAGTGTCATTGATCCGAACAACATCAAAATCAACTCATTCGTACCGTTATTTCAATCGCTGCACCTTAGCTCAATCATAATGACACGTGAGATTCTTGTTTTTATTTCTTTTTTGCTACGGTGGAGCGGTTGTCACCCGTAAGTGCAAGTGACGTCATTCTGATACCACCAATAAACAAGTTATAAGCCCAGTGTTACGATCCCGTTATGAAGGCCTACTGGAAGCCATAAAATGTGGCTTCCTTTAAGGAAATAATATCATTCCTTTAATAAGCGCCCACGACCCACGTTTCTTTTCTCACGGAAAATAATAATAAAATCTATAATAATAACTTACAGCCCGTTTCTTTCTTGATTTCCTCAATTTCCTCCTCGCGAAGTAACGTGGACGCTCGAGATCCCATAATGATGACTCCAGTGGTGAAGTTCGCAACCAGCACACAGAAGCGAACCGGCTGTGAAAATGTCAGTTAGCAAAAAAAATAAATAAAATAAAATAGCAATGAAAAAAGGAAAGAAAGAAAAAAGAAAAAACGGCTACCTTCGAGCAGCTAGCACGCCAGCTGTCTCGCTCTACACGTCCACCGTGAGAACAAGAAAGTCTCTCGGGGAAGTTTGGGACAACTTTCAAGTCCACTCCGTATGTCAATCTAGAAAGTCATTTGTTTATATTTATTGATTGAGTTATTTATTTATTTTGATACTTCGAGTCGCTTTAAATGAACGCCGCTAAGCGTCCTGTGAAAAGAAGGCGAGCTTCGGTCCTTTTATCTTCCGTCTTTATCGAGTGGGCGGGGTTACATTGGGTGAAGTGGGTAGCCGTGTGAGTGCCTGATTAAAATGTGACACTAGGAAGCGTGATACAATGCCATATTAAAAATAGGTTTTCAAAATTATATATCGTCAATGTACATATCATTTTCGAGGGTAAAATGTGAGATGATTAGAACGCTACAAATCAAAAAAATTGTGCCTTAAATGGTGATGCTTGTAATATTTCCTAAACTGGGATATATTTCGTATAGTGAGTCTACAATAATAATGATGATGAAAATAAATACTACTACACACCTAGATTTAAAGTAAAAACAAATCAGAAAAGGGAATAATTGCCCGATTGAACGTAATTAGTCGAATAATTCGAAGAAAAAGTATTGAAATCACGTGATTGCACGTCAACTGTCCACTGATAGAGGGCAGTGCTTCAATGTGATTTAGATGCAACGGTCTCTGTGTTTTTTGGGTTAACATACGGCATTAAAAAGGTTGCCAAATGATAAACATATGGTAGAATTCCTATCGCTGACAGTCAGTCCAAGGTCAGAATATTTGTAAACCTTGGAGCGTGCATTTTTATCCAATATAACACTTTTAGAGAATGACAAAAGAGCTCAAACAATAAATTGATATAAAACAGTAATGTCGCGATGTGGTTAATCGGAGGAAAAACCTAACACGCAAGTCACCTTTGCTCAAGAAAGTAGTCAATTGTGAGGCAGATGTGCCAACCACTGTCCACCATGCTTCCCTATGTAAGTTCACGACAACATTTGAGCTTTATTTTTGGTATTTCACCTTTTTAATGGACACAAATATGTTCTTAAAAGCACACAATCATTAAAAAGTCATTCAGAAACCTTTCAAAAGTGCAATTCGTCTTAAAATCAAAAACACACCCATTGCAAAAACAAACATAAAAAAAGTTAAGCGCGTGTTCGTAAAACCAGTAATCAAGCAGCTTTCATATTTTGAGGGGTTTTGTTCACTCGCTGAAGTGGCACACCGAGTCCATGGCCATCTGGATTCTGTGCACAGACACGCAAAAATGACAACATGAGAACTCCACTTTTCTCAATTTGCATTATTTTAAAATAAAACCTTTTTAATCATGTTCCAGCTACCTGTCAGCGGCATAGCCTCTCTCGCACATGTTGACCAGAGCGTACAAATGTCTCAGTGCATACTCATACTGGGGGGGAAAAAAAAAACATTGTCGAAAAGAGAAATGAAAGTGAAAATCGCAATTTTAAAAAGGAGAAGTCAAGTTGAAAAAAAATCTTAACAAAATATGTTCCAGGAATGCTCATAGTCTGATTAATATTGTGTTTGTAGAATATTAATTAATCAGCATAATCCACTCGTTTTTCTATCCATCTCAAGGCCATTTGGCCACTTGCTGTCAACTGAAAATGACATTACAGTTGCTAAGGTAACGAACATTCACAGCTCACGGGTTTTCTTACTTTTTTCATGTAATGTTCATAAACTGAGCCGTGATTGGTCGATACCCTCGCCCTGCGTAATGTCTGATGTCATTTTCAGTCAATCGGAAAAGGGAAAATGGCCGCCCCCTAAGATGGATAAAAACGGATTGATTTTGCTACTTCATTCAAAATAAGTATTTTTAATGCCTTAAAAGGGGCTTGTTTTTTTTTTTTAACATTACTATAGGAAGTAAACATAATCAGGCACTCCGCCCCCTAAAAAAATAAAAAATAAATGACATCAAACTGTTTCTACCCACCACAAATGAACTGCTTTCCAACTTTATTGAGAAAATTACTTGGACAGCGGCGAATGAATAAAATGTACTGCATTAAAAAAAAAAAAAAAATCCCACTGGTGCAGCGTGCGTTGTGCTTTTGCTGTCGTACCTTGGCTTTGTTCCAGTTGAAGCAGTTGTGTTTGTAGTGGTCCACAGCAGTTCGGTAGCACCGGTGCTGCGTCAGGTCCCTCCTTTCGTTGACCACCTTCTCAGCCTCAAAACGGTTGCCCGTCACCCTCTCCGCGATCTGACGCATGGTCGCCGCTAGCATCTCCCTGACCTGCACTCACACACACACAAAGTGACACAAATGAAAAAAACACTTGCCAAGCAATATTTAATTGACAGCTGTACCTTGAGGTGAGCGTCTATTTCCGAGAGGAGACTCCGGGCCACGCCGATGTCGTTGGAGGCCATCATCTTCCTCTTGAGGATGGCCAAGGGAACGTCGGGACTCGGCGTCAGGTCCAGTTGGCCGACGGGAGGCAACGGGCCGGGGACGACGGCTCCGCTCTTCCGCGTCCCCTGGAAAGCCGCCACCTTCATGTGGGCCAGAGTCTGACGGCGAGACAAGCATACGTGAACGTGATGCAAAACATTACGGGATTAAATGTGTTGTTTGTGCTCCGCCTCACTTTATTTCCAAACTGCTGCACGTGGCTGGTGTTGGTGTGATTCTTCACAATTCGAAACTGTTTCAACAACGTTTCCCGGGACAAGTCCTCCTGCGGCGTAACAGAACTATCAACAATGAAAGCTGCAGAGTCAAAATGATGGCTGTGAACCAAAATGGCCTGTTGTCTTTTCAGGTTGAGTGTCAAGAGTTTTTTTTTTCCTTTTTTTTTTTGTTGAGTATACTCATAAACTGACATCACATTTCAAGGTGAGCAGCTGTTTTGGAGGCTGAATTCCTAAAAACCTGCCAGAATGTGCTACAGTGCCAAAATGACCATTTTAAATCAAAATGGCTTCATGACTTTTTGTGGGACTACTCATGATAGACATTTCTAACAAATTTTATGTTAGGGAAAATTATGATGATTTTTATTTATTTTTTTTACACTAGAGGGCAATCCCGAGCCCGAAACAAAGTCATACCACATCGGAATCTTCCATCCAGTTGACGCTGTACCAGTCTCCCAGGTAGGTGTCACGCTCGGCGTCATAGTAACATGCGTACGATGACTCGTGTGAGTTGGCTGCTGTGGTGGCATAAACTAAAAAAAAAAAAAAAAAAAATTGTAATTCAAAATAATAATTGAAAAATGTTTTGGGTTGTTGTTTTGGTTTTGTTCAACTCACCGTCTATGTCGTCAGGCAGATGGCTCATCATCGACCCCGACTCACAGGCTTCAATGTAGAACACCATCTTACAAAAAAGTGAATGAAAGACAGATGACGATTGTAATGCTGCTGCTGAGTGGCATCAGCCGGTGAGCTACACACCTTCTTGTACTTCTTATTGTCGTGCATGTACTGGATGGTCTCCTGGAGGTCTTTGACGTGCAGCTAGAAAAGAGCAAGTGGTGTACTCGGTACATTAAACTAAATTTATAATCGTTCAAACGGATGTCGAAGTACTTTTTTTTTTGTACAAAACTGTTAGAATAAATGCACATTAAGTTCTCCCATATTTGGTCTTGTATTACTACAAAGCATTTATTCAGCAGGATGGCCTTGGAAAGTTACTCTCTTCTTTTGGATGGAAGACTTCATCATTGTTCTCAGGAGTTGAATCAGATAACAACCTCTGAGGAGTGGAAATGGCAACCTTGAGACGGCGCACTCGTGACACATTTGCACAAATGAGCTCTTGAAACTCCTCGAAGCACATTAAGAGTGCATTGTGTTCCGGGTGGGATGATATAATCAGTGTTTGTGATGTAATTTTACTTAGCATTTGACAAAATCTCGGGTTGATGCATAAACACATGTCATTTCATATGGGGAATTTATTCCCCCCGTTGTAACATTTAAACATGAAGGACGATGTAGAGGAACAAAAACATTTCTTGAAAATGAAAAAAATTTTTTATTTTTTTTATTTTATTTTTTTTACAAAATCCAGATTGATGTCTGTTTTTTCACCATTTAAAAAAATGGCACAGACCCAAGGGCGATGTATAAAAATAAACATATATCAAATATATCTATTTTTTCATATTAAAAAAAAATTCCCATATTGATCCATACTTTTTCACCCCCCATTTAAAAAAAACCTAGGTAAATTAATCAAAATAAATAAATATTTTTCCCCTGCACTCACTCTATTTTTCACATTTTACAAAATTCAGGTAGGAGGTGTGAAAAAAAAAAAAAACTAATAATAAAGGAGGCAACACACAAACTACTAAAATGGCAGTTTCAGTGATTTTGTGAGTGCGCAGTAAAAACAAGGCAGCCAACCTCTCCGTTGGGGAAGGCCAGAATTCCGGGCGCTCCGTGGTCAGTGAAATAAACAAAGACGTGATCGTTGGGACCACTGAGGAGACACAAAGATGAAGACTGTGATGTGGCGATCTGATCCCCACCAAAAAAAAAAACAAATCAACCAAAAAAAAGCCCACAGACACATTGTAGAGTTGTCACTCACCTCTTTAAGACTTTCCCGGAGCCTCCTCTCACTTTGGAGGAGTCACCTTTCAGCACAGCCAGGAAGTTTTCAGGAGTGACATCCTGCACATGATAAGGCGTGCAGTGCTTCATGAAAAATGCCCAAGAATTTTTTTAAAAAGTGCGCAGTGGCCAATTTATTTTGGCACTCACTTCAGAAGTGTAGTCCTTTAGGACACCCTTGTACACATCGCTACCGTTGGGCCTGTTGATCAGGATGCCGGGTGTGGGATTCCTTCGGGAGGGAAGCGGGAAAACATTGTTTACATTGAGTACCACAAAAAAATGTGTTTTATAAAATTGTAGTCTTCTTTTTTGTCAAAAGATATGGTTCCATTTTTTTTAGTTTCACTTAAATCCAGGTTGGTGTATTGTTTAAAAATAGTCACAAATCTTTTTTGCACTTTCTAAAACAAAGCCGCAAGTATCAAAATGAATATTCCTTTTTTTTCATGACAGGTATTTGTTTTTATTTATACCCCCCAAAAAAGTAAAAAATAAAATTCATTTTATTTTGGTTGTTTTCAGGTCAAAATTAAGTCAAGATGCTGCCGACTAGTCGCACCAAGTGGTAGTTAGTGTGGAGCGAGGAGAAGTAACATGATATGTTTTGTGTGATTCCTCTCAGAAAGCTAATTTTGGTGTCTGTGCTCAATTTGCTGTCTTGGCTAGAAAGTTTGTACGCGCGTTGAAAGAGTCCCAAAAGGCGGCCCGTTGAATGGCAATAAACCGCCGGTCCATTTTCATTTCTCTTCAAACTAAGAAAAGAGGAAGGGTGTGATAAACAGCAGCTGCAAGAGCTTTCGAAAATGTATTGGATTTTAAAATATGTTCAACTGATCTGCTGATCATTTTCGTTGACAGAGTATGCAGTTTTCTTTTTGCTGTTGTTGATTCTAGGAGTTTCACTTAGGTGTTGTTATCAATAAGTGTTGGGGGGGAAAAAAAAACATACGTATGTGAAAAAGTCGGAAATTTGATGAGAACAAAACCGTACCATTAAAAGAATGAAACTGTACATTAATGTGGAAAAATGTATGAGAAAAGTCTGTGTGTGCGACGTTCTCACTCCTCAGCTTGTGCCAAGTCGTCCATCATCATGACCACAATCTGCTCGTCCGGGATGCCATTCTTGTGTACGATCTGGTAGGCGTGACATGCGTCCGCCTGGTCAACGGACGGGGCACACACGCACACACGCACACACACACACACACACACACACACACACACACACATACACACACACACACGCACAAATACATAAAGACACACACGGGACATCTTTTCATGAATAATTCCATAAGTGGGCTTCGGGGTTCTCATTGTTTTTTAGGCAATTAATATACCTCAAATCATAATTGTATGGAAATAAAGTTGAAATACTATGCAAGTAATTGTAAATGAACATGGAAAAGTTGTCCTTTTACAAGAGAAAAAAAGTACTAATTTCACAAGAGTCAAGTATGACTGTTCCAAGAATAACGTCTGACATGACAGGAATGAAAAGGTGACATATTACTGGGAAAAACATTTTTTTCTGAGAATTAAGCTGTAAAATAAAAATTCTGCAATGTTACAAACTGTGGTAATATTAAAGTCACAATTTAACAAGAAAAGCTTGCACAAGTGAAAAAGTAAAAAAAAAACAACAACAACAAAAAACAGATTAAATAGTGTGTGATGTGACGATGGAATATTACCAGTAAAGTCATTATTTTATCAGAATAGAATCAAACTATTAAGAGAATAAATTTGTAAATGAATGTGGGGAAAAGGGTAACTTTAAAAGAAAAATAGTTCGAATTTTACAAGAATAAAAGCAGAGCATTACAAGAATAAATGAGTGGTAATTTTACAAGATCATTTTGCAAGAAAAAAAAGCGCCCCCTCTCCCAGGAATAAAACACTGAGAATAATGGCACAACATTTCAAGAAAAAAAGTCGTAATTTTGCACTAAACTCAATATTTTATTGGATTACGGATGTATTACGACGTCAATAAAGTTGCAACAATACGACACAAAAACTCATAACGGCACGAGAATGAAGTTGACATTACAGGAACTAGTATTTTAGTACTTTAACCTGAAAATTTATATTTTTAATCACTATATACAAGAAAAATACGTTTTTTAAATGGTTAGGGAAGGAACAGGTGCAATATTCTGAAAAGGTAAAAAGCTGTCAGACAAATAAACACAGTAGAGCTACCTGATAACTACGTACTTTAAATATACTAACCAAGTATTTGTACTTGGTTCCTTCAAACGCCTGAAGACATAAATTACATTTGAGCGTGTTTTCTTTTTTTTACCTGATGTCTGTAGTTGTACCAGGAAGACGAGCCCGCAACGATCACCACCCAGTTCTTCCCGTTTTCGGGCTCCTGTGTGGGGAAGGAGTTCACCAGGACAGCGAAGAGCCTCAGCGCAACCAGGAGGACCAACAAACGACCCATTTCCTTGCCTGTGTTTCGGCAGCCAGATTTGAACAATGATAACAACAATGAGTCGCATTCAAATGACGAAGTGACTTAAGCTTTTGAGACCAACTCGATCTTTGCGATCACATGACTAAGACGGTATCGCTTCTCCCGATGCTAACTAGCTAATATTAAATCTCAACAGGGTGTTTAAAATAAATTCAAAACATCAGCAAACACACATTTTTGTTTTACCTGAAGTTTGGTTTGTTGTAGGAAGCCGAGCGAAGCGAAAAAAATCACTAAACGATCCTGGTTATCTAGGCGGAAACCATCCAGTGTTATTTATATAGAGTATATGGCGAAAAAAAAAAGAACTGCTTGGAATAACATTGGAGCGGCAGGCCGACAACCAATCAGAGAGCAGGAGGCGGGATTTTACTGTTAAAAAAAAAAAATCACGTGCTCTCACTCAAGCTCGTCCTTGATTGGCAGGTGGAAGTCGAAGTATGACGCCAGTGATTTGTAAACACAGAAAACAAATATTAAATAAGAGGCGTAACATGATCCATTCATAATTTCTAAACGTTATAGGTAGGCAACACGATTGGGATAGCAAAATAACCTCGTATTGCAAGAATGAAATCGAAATATAAGGCGATAAAAGTGTGACGTAGTCACTACATACAGGAAGAACCAAAAGATGCATAAGACACGCACGCACATAAAAACGTAATTTAACGTTAAACGTCACCCCACCCCCTTCCCCAAGAATAAAGTAATGTTCATTTTCAAACAAAGTCGCAATATTACAAGAAGTAAATGAGTAACATTATGAAAATGCACTAAAAAGGTGAGAATAAAGTTGAAATAAACTTGTGTTATAAAAATAAGGCTCTTAAAATTTTAACGTGAAAAGTCAATTTTTAAGTTGATAATGAAGTAATAATATTGCATTCATAAAGTTGTATATTACAATAACGTTCAATTAAATTCAAACAGCCACCACAACAACTCATCTGCAATAAATCACGTTTTTTATTTCTCAATATAGAAAAGCAATTAAGTTAAATAGTTAAACAAACCATCAGAAAAAAAAATCTGCATCTTGTTTTCAACCCCATGGTCCTTTAATACATTAACCTTTTTATCTCAAAAAGCAGAAAGTGTAAATATTTTTACAGTAATAAATATTTTATACACTCAACATATATATTTATATGTGTAAATATATAAACGAATATACAATAAAAAGTTATATTCAAGTTGGTAAAAGAAATAAGGGTGATTGCATTTTAATCGTCATTCCAAGGCATCGGTATAACCACGGCCATTCAGAGTCTGTCAGAATAAATAGAGTGTGATAATATATGTAGGCGTGTTTATTTTGTATGTGTGTATAGATATATATTGTATATCTATAAACACACACACACACACACACACACACACACACACACACACACACACACACACGCACACGCACACGCGCACACAAGTGTGATTGTAGTGCATCACTGTAAATAAAAATGATAGTGCAAGTCAATACTTTCAAACTAATCCGAGTGGAATGACTACAATGCAATGTCCTCTGTTGTTATGGCAACAGGGCGGTGCAGGGCAGGGGTGGGGTCGTAGCAGAAATGACAAAACCAGGCATATTTGGCAAATTATTAACAACACCAAAATATATCAACACAAAAATGCATAGAAATCAATGAGCTTGACTGTCATGCAGCATTTTTCACCAGATGATAAAAGCAAGGCAGATTGTGAGAGGAAAAAGGGGAAGGAGGCGGTGAAAAAAAAAAAAGTCAGCCTCAGCTTGCACTTTTTCCCTGTGGTTTGATTCCCCCCCCCCCCCCCAAGATTGGTTGTGATGAGAACTCCCAGTTCCTGTTTTCAAAAGTAATGTTGGCAGCAGTTAGCAGTAACTCAGCTGTTAGCAGTCAACCACATTGTGCGATGTCGCACGGAAAATTGATGTCATGATCTACCTTCAATAAATGACAATAGCAGCTCAGCTATCTTAGCCAATAGCTTTAGCTGTCAGTTTCATTGTGCGATGTCACGTGCAAGGTCAGTAAAATGCTTGAGCGTTGATAACTAGTGACATTAGAAGCAAGTTTGCAGGGTTTTTTAGCCGTCAGCTCCTACTGTGATCAGTCAACCACATTGTGCACTGTCACACTAAGTTGGTAATGTGCACAACCTTTAATAACAGGCAACTATAACGGCAAATTAGCAGTTAGGTGCTCCTGTTAGCAGGTAGGTGCTCCTGTTAGCAGCCGACCACATTGTGAGACGTCCCGTCTAATTTACATACCAGGCTGTCTCATAATTGAAAACAGGCACAATCTTTCTAAGAAGCGACAATTGCTGCTAGTTAACCCATTGGCCATTAGCTCGAACTTTGTTAACAAATCACGCTACTTGGCCATTAACGTCGAGTTAGCCATTAGTGACAAACAGCAGAGGTCATCCACATTGTGCTGTCACGAAAAATTCAAGTGACGATAGTAGCTACTTAGCCATAACATGCTAATGTCACATATTGCAATGCCACATAGGAAGTTGATAACATGCTCAATCAATCAATTGCTCACAATTAACAGTGGCCAGTAGCTAGCGGCTAACGACATACAGTATAGCAGTCCACCACATTGTGTGATGTCACGCTTACAGTCAAAAACATTCTACCTTAAATGTAACCGTTTGACGCTAACTAGCCGTGAGCTGAACCATCGTTCACAAGTGACGGTAGTGGCTAGTTGGCAGTCAGAGGTTATCGATAGCAGTCAACCACACTGCAATGCCACATGTAATGTCGAAAACATGTATCCTTCTACTCGGCGGTTATCGACTACCTTGCCTTTAGCTCCACCATTGTTAACAAGCGACAGCAGCGGCTAAACTTAGCAGTCGACCACCTTACTCGATGTCACACGCAAGACTAAAACACGCGCAGCCAGCTCACGTTGACAGTGATCAACTTGATGCATGACATCACACAATGTTTTGGACCGCTAGCATAAGCCCTGAAAAAGCGTACCCTGCCTCAGCTTGCACTTTTTGCATTGTGTTTAGATTTCGTCTGCTCCCGGTTCCTGTGTATGCTCTTGGTGTGCTTGCTATTTAGGCTCCCCTGTTAAACCTCGGCGCCCAGTTCGATGACGCCCGTCTCCACGATGGGCACCAGTTTGTCGTCCACCTGTACCAGCAGGATGGTCTTGTCTATGTGGGAGCGGTTGGCCGGCTCGCGGCTACAAGGCACCCACCGGTGAATCACCTGGAAACGCATAACAATGACAAGCTGCTCACAAATTACGACACAAGGAGGAAGTAGGTCAGTTTCCCAGGGCACTAACTAGGACAAACAAACAGAATCATCAGAGCAAAGTTTAAAAAAGTGTTTGCTGACACGATGGTTCAAAAATGAGCACGCAACAAAAAAAAAAAAGAAGTGAGATTATGAAGGTAAAGTGACAGAAATGGTGCGCAGAAAGCCACTTCGACACTGGATGGCTTTAAAGGAACATATTAGTTGTCTCATGTCTTAAATATCTGTCTGACACACAAATCTTTTCACTTGAAGAATATTAAACATTACTTTTTTTATCTTGAAAAAAAAAAATACTTTTATAAATCAAAGAACTTGGATTCCCCCCTCAAACAAATATGACCTCGGAAAAAATGACTTTTTAAAAATTAACTAACTATAATTAACTCAAAAAAAATTCAGACTTGTTTTCTGTCTGAAAAAAACAAAACAAAGCAAAAAATAATAATAACTACTTTTTACCTTGGGGGAAAAAAAAGGGACTTTTTTTGCAAAAATGTTAATTATCTTCAAAAAATCCAACGTTATTCCATCTGATTAGAGCCTTTTTTCTAATAACATTAGGAGTGTTTTTTAGGTGCGTATTTGGATGACATTTGTAGGATGTTGAAAGCAACGTAGTTCTGGGTAGCTCCGAACTCACATGTCCTTCCATGCCCTCCAGGGGGCTCCATTCCCTCCAGCAGGTCCGCCCTGCCCGCAGTCTCACTGTCTCGTCCGGCCACTGCACCTCCTTCCGCTTGGACATGTTGAGGTTCTCCAGCACTTGATTTGGGTCCACAATCTGGACAGAACCGCAACAATGAGATTCTTATGGAAGCCAGTGGCGATGGGGGGCTCATCACGCTGTATTCATCGTTTGCGAATTTCGTTCCAATCTTTAAGGTTTTTACAGGAGACAGGCATGTCTGGAAAAAATATTACTTCATTCATGTAGTCTTTATGTGTTAGGCCTTCGATATTCATATAAATTGATAAATTAATTAATTTCATATTATAACAGATTTTCCTTGAATAAATACTACTTATAAAAAAACAAAACATTATTCACATATGAAGAGGATCGTTCTTTCATATGAAAACTGTTTCTACGATGATGTACTGTACCACACACCTGCACTCTGTACGAGATGTCGTCCCTGCGCACAGTGGAGACGATGGGGTTATGCTGCTGCGGGTGGTGATAGTGATGCTGCGGGTGGTGATGATGAAGGTGCTGCTGCTGCTGGTGGTGGTGGTGATGCTGGCCAAGGGGGTCCATCACCACGCCGCAGAGGCCGTCGTTCCCCAGGAGGCCCACCAGCGTGTGCCGCTTGCATGGTGGAATGCTGTGGCTGGAGAGCGACGCCGAAGGGCCAGCCAAGTCAGAGGTGGGCCCCAGCCGCAGCTGCAGGGAGGTGGGCAGCGTGCGCAGGGACAGCTGGCTGGTGGAGGAGCGCCGGCACGCCTCCAGGCCCGTGGCGGACGTGCGCAGCGACGAGTGGCGGCTGCTGCCGCCGTAGCGGTACGAAGATGACTGGCTGGCCACGGACGCCCGGGCTGGGGAGTGACGCACTAGGCTGGACTGGACGGACTGGGAACTCTGACTGGAGCCTGGATGCGCACAAAGCACGGCCAGGCTGCCATTAGCGTTGTGACAACGCAGTAGACTGCTAAAGTTAGCTGTTAATGGTTAACTAACTGCTATTGTCACCCATTATCAAAAGGTCAATAGCTGCCAGTTAGCATAAAGTCAATAATTTGATGAAAGGGGACAAGAGCAACTAGTTAGCCGTTAATGTTAGCATTGTCAAGTATCTTGAAGGTTTAGTGTGTTACTGATTTTCGGCCTGACATCACACAATGTGGTCACTTGCTAATGGTAACCGCAAATCCTAACTAGCCGCTATATCACACCATGGCCTTGACTGCTAAGGTTAGCTGCTAACTGCTAACTGTCTTTTATTGTTACTTGTTATCAAAGTTTGTGGAACTTGTGTGATATCACACAATGTAGTCATCACACAGCAGCTAGCTACCGTTAGCGGCAAATGTCAGTAGGGGTCTAACCGT